GGGAAATCGCATGCGGTGATCAAAACAAAGTCGTTATCAAAACTTTGGATTATCGACTTTTTCAGTTTCATGGAAAGCGTGGTCAAACTTGGTGGAAGGTAAATCAAATGCAGTGAGTCACAATTAAAACAGTCATTATCAAATGGGTGGGGAGGCGGAGGGCTCGCTGTATGGCTTCGGACAGAGTTCACGCGATTTGATCGTCGCGATTTAATCGCCAAGATTTCCATTCATTTTCATTTCACATTCAAAAATTTCGGGCTGAAAAAGTATCACAACCGAATGCAAGTTGATCGGCATGGAATGATGTTATAACAGTTGTCTCGTCGCGATTCAATCGCGACGATCAAATCGCGTGAAGTCTGCCTGGGGCCTAAAGTGGCCTGTGAATGAAAAAAAATGGGCCTGAAACCCGCATGAGTGCTATTAAGCCATCTCAACTTCACTTTGAACTAGGTTAATTCTCATTCCACTATTTTTTTTTCATTTTTATACTTCTTGTCTAATTGAGAATGTTTTTTGCTTTTTCTCCGCCAAATGACTTTCAGCTTGATGTTTATTGTGCCATCCCCTAGGCATCGCTTACCTGCTCTAACTAAGATCTCCCAAGGACATCTACACCGTGCACAATATTGCATGCTTTATTAATTTCGTACTTCCCCCTCTTCATCTTCAAATCTAAGTCATCATATTCTTTTCATCAACATCTAGATGGTCTTAATAGCTACATTTGCCCTCAATGCACATGTCGTTGCCTCCTTTGATGTTCTCCTTGTGCGTGAGTTACATTTTTGAGCAGATATGAACCTTAAACGGTATACCGACAGCTATCTGAATCAGATAATTTGTGTCCAGTTACGATCATGTAAGTTACCCACCCTTAGCAGACTTCTAGCGATTCCCGTGATTTAGATCATATTTAAATTAAGGGAATCGTTGGCATTCGTAAGCTTCAAGGAGGACGACTGGCTGAAATGCATTCTATATCCTGTCCACAGAATAGAGTCACTCAAGCAGGCAAAATTAGCAAATTCTGGAACTTCTTCAAAAACACCACACCTACAGTATGATCATAAGATGGCAACAATTGTGGCACAACTGTTCGCCCTGTGTCAATCTTAAAATGCTAATCATGATTGGCAATTCGTTGATTGGCATTTTAAGATCTTTCCTAATATTATCAAAATTGGCACATATCGGACTACACCTTCCCTATCAGAATTTTTGCCATAGCGAACGGATGCTAGGACAGCGTTTAGGATGCGATAACATATAAGGACTGGCCATACTATTCCAGGAGGTGATTCCTGCGATTACTGTAAGTCCTGCGACTCCTGTGATTCCTCGACTTCTGATGTGCAGCAATACGGAGCGCTTTGCGAATTAGTATACATTTTTTTCGCAATATACATTGTTGCGGGATCCGCAGGAATCACAGGAATCGCAGGAATTGAGGTATTCACAGGAAATGGCGGGTCCCTCAGCAATGCATGATAATTTCAGAAAGGCGATCGCATACCGGCCATGCCGGACCATACCCTTATGAAAAAATTACAATAAATTGAATGTATGTAAATGACTTTTATGACTGCCACGATTTTTTGAGTATTCTGAGAATCTTGGTCAGAATAGCCACATATGCACTCGCGCGCCTTGTAAATGCGACTTCTTCTCTAAACCAGTGGCTTTCTCTAAACCAGTGGCTCTCATTTGACTGCTTATTTTATTTTTCCCATATATACTCTAGCCTCAGGTTGTTAAGGAAGGTAGATTATGAATTGTATGCGGTATCTTGCACCTACATATAGGTAACGGAATGCGTTAATTGCTATAGTAGCGGCTAATAATGTAGTAGTGAGTCAGAAATCGCATAATCAACCCAGTTTGTGTCAATACACACTACTAGCGCTACTATACTAGCGTAGAACTACACATCCGCAGCGCGAGGGCTTTGCGTGCGGACCTTCAATCGATGAGGCCAATTTGAATGCCCCAAACACGCGCGAACGTGGCGAGGAGCTCTGGCGTGACAATTGCGTAGCTGCAAAAAGGAATACACGATTGACACAAACTATAGCATGCATGGTTTTTACGTGAAATACTCAAGAACCATTCAGAATTAGAAATGAAATATCAGACCCAAGAGCGCATCACATTGACATTTCTAAGAATAGCATTGAAAGAAAATGCTAGCGAATTCTAAGAAAAAAATCCACTCGCTGTTGGAGTTTTGTGTTCCTGTGTGAGAGAAACAATGGTGAGTAGTTCGCCAGTTATTGGGCAATAGACAGACCCCATATGTAAATTTTTTCATGATTGGCCGATAAAGGTCAAGTGACGATAAGGTGAATCAACTTGCCGATAGATCATAGATAGAGTTCGGACTTATTGGGGTTTGTGGCTTGTATCTACTAAATTTTGTATTTTTTCTGGTCGCTTTGAAGTTCAAATGAGGATTACCCAAATGAGCAATGTTTCAGAACTTCCACACATTTATTTCATTATTTTTACCTATATTAATTACTGTCATTTATGCATTTTTATCATTTACATCACTATTTTTCGACTTCTGTTCGTAGAATCTTGAATTTTGCGTCACAATGTACTACTCTATGTAAACTTCTGACACAAGCTATTGGAAATTCTTCATAATTTTTGAACACTCCAGCAGCCATAGTCTCCGTATAAACAAATTGATCCTAATCGAATGAGTCCACCACGCTCATTATGTATCAATGGGTGCGCTTATTTGAGAAGGGCCCCGTGTTATTCTCGTTTTCCTCTACAAGATTAAATCGTTGACACCCAAAAACGGGGCATCTTTAATTTTAGAGTGTGCAAGATTCATGTGATTGTTTTTTATCAAGTTACTTTCGTTCATCTTTACAAGCTGGGTCTAGAGCTTCGAGTTCTGTTTCATTCCGTATTTTCATTTATCTTCTCTTGCGGCTGAGGACTGGCTGGTCTCATTGTTTGTTTGGATCTTCTTTTATTTCTTTGCTCTGGTGCACCTCGAGTGTATTTATAAAATAAAATAAAAATAAAAGATTACCTCGCAAACAATATGGTCCGCTTATTCAGATAATACGGGTAAATGAAAATCGACTAGTATTATGCGCTACAAGCTATTATTATGAAGTTCAAATGGAGGAAGATCCGAGTAAAGCCCTTGCATGTATTCTGTTTGGCTATAATTGGGACAGGTCAGTGCTTTTTGACTCAACTTACTTTCTTTTTTTTCTATAAATGTGCGTAATAGTTCAAATCCCTACAATTTCATATTCATAATGAAGGGAAAAAATTATCTTGTAATTTCTAAGGCTTCTAGCAGAATAGCAATGTCCATTAATTATCCGTTTTTCCGAAGTTTGCATTGGGGTTGAGAAGATTTATTAATTGCGACTTTTACAATCTGAAGTCCTCCGCTCTTTGCGCTGTTGTGCAAATACGGCAAAAATATTCTTCGATTAAGGGAAAACTGTGAAGGCAGAAAGCGCGTGATAGACACGTACCTTAAATGATGACTTTAGTTCAACGTTTTCCCCGATAAATTATCAAGATCGATCGAAGGCAATGCTTGCAAAATTAGAGATTATTTTAATCTACTTTATGTCGAGATAATACACGTCTTAATGCGATTTGATGAAAGCCGTAAACACGAATTCTGAGGTACTACTTTGTTGGAATAATTTGAGGATCCTTCAATCTTTTTCCAAGAATGATCAGAACCAGTGAAAAAAGAGAATTATGTTTGGTCGAAAGAAATGTAACGGTAGGATTATAATTTCTGAACCTATCGCGAATTTAACATCTCGATAGTATAGCAGAATTTTATAGGTATATTGTTTATCCGCAGGGTCTGATTTTTAACGACACTCTAACTGGGGGCAGTGAGTAGGCTATCGCAAGCAGAAAGCATTTCCTCATTCGAAACCATTATATTAGGTCAATGCTGTTTCTCAGACCTATCCTCAAATCGTTCAGAGTAAGATATGCAAATGATCTAAAATACAATGCAAAAAATCTCCGATTTTCTAGCAGTGATGTTTTTGTTTCACTATCTTCGATGGTGGCTCAAAAACAATTGTCATCTTACCTACTCTAATTTTAGCTATGTTTTTGAATTTTTGAATTTCAATTCAAAATTTTGAGAGCTTTGATAGTGCTTGGATGAGTAAACAAAGTGCAAGAGTGATGCAATTTTTGGCATATCCGTAGCTGATTTTTCGGAATGTTTAAAAAAAACCTTTGATGCTACAATTTATTTATTTGGTCATCCCGAAACTCAAGAAACATCAAACAGCGAGCAACCAGGTGTGATTCGATGCAGCTTTTCTCTCCTTTCTGATAGTGTTTTTTATTACTGGTGCGTAGAAGCTTCAAGGATAAAATCGCCACAATTCGTTTTGAACAGTCCCAAGGTCTACAGGAAATCCAAAATTCAAAATTATTTCAAAACGGCAAAACCTTCGTTTGAGTGTAAAATCAGTGTACAATCATGTTCGATTTTTGAAAATTGTAAATTCTGGAGACTTATCAGTGTTTCAAGCGTTTGTTTATCTTATGACTTCGTAAATTGAAGACTTCTGGAAAAATTTTACCGAAAAAACTCAAAAGCCAATTGAAGATACTCAAAAAGTCAAATGCATTGCCGGCATCCAGCCACTATCGGGGCTCTCTTGAAGGTCGAATGAAAGTTTCAAAAGCTAAAATTAGGGTAGGTTAAAAGTCAAAACAATGGGTTCGAGATTCTGACAATCAACTGCGATCATCGAATCGGAACAAAAATTGCTAAAAAGTGGAAGATTTTCTGCATTGAAGACAGTCAGAGTATGTGCCAACCATTACTCTGAACGATTTAAGGATAGTGAAAAAGCGAACGAACTTTCGGACCAACCCAATATGATATCCATACCCATCTCAGTTCCAACTAGTTGCAAATGATTACACTTTGTTCATATGCGACGGTGCAAATAATTACACTTTGTCCATGTGCGACTGTTTATTCTACACCTTCATAAGGTGATGCAACTGGTAAAGAACATCGAATTGAGCAATAGTAAATATATCAACTCAATCAATTAGTGAAGTAATTATAAAAATTTCGAGAACTTTCTCAAAGTATTAATATTTTGTTAGATCTCAGCAACTGCATAGTTAGCAAGATAAAACTAGAGTAAGGCACGCTCAAGGCTCTCCGATAACAAATGGATAATGAAATAACTAAATTGACTATTTCGATCCCACCCGTTCGAGAATTGATGTCAACGAAAGGTCTCTCATTCCTCTGGAATTGTTGACACATGCTTTGTTCGTTCATAGATCTCTCGGTCCGTCGGCTTGATTATGCCGAATTTCTCAGCTGCAGCCAATGCTCTTTTTGCCTATAAATGTCATTTCTTTGTATTCTCAATGACAGATCAAACTACAAAAGACCAACCTGTTCAGTAGCGCCCTTTCTTGCCTCGTTCTTCTCTCCAAGTTTTGCTATGGCCACGAGGACTCGGAAAATCTCGGACTATAAGATTTAAAATGGAAAACGGTACAACGGAGGCATCTATTCAGAAAAAAAAAACTGACCGCAACAATCTCTGCGCATAGCTTCTCATCACTTTCCATGATATTCGCAATGCCGATAAGGCCTCGTCTTTGAGACTAAAGAGAGAATCTTAACGAATACGCTAAACAGGCAAGGCTAAGAATAACAAGTCACCTCAACATCCTCATGCATAGCTATTTCCTGGAACACCTCGGGCCAAGATTTTATCTCATCCAATATCCGCCGATTCGCATCCACATCTTCTGTCAAGATGGCAAAAGCAGCAGTAGCACACCGAGAGAGGCGTTCACTTTCTTCAGCCGCGTAAAGAACCCAGAGCTTCAGCCTGTCCGTGCCTTTCTGCGAAAAGTGAACAAATCGTATAAAGAAAAATGCAGAGCTTGACATTACTGTAACTGTATCTATCACGAAAGAGATCAGTCGATCAAAAATGTATTGGAAAGTTGTGTCGAAATTACCTACATGACTAAAAGACCACACAATAAAAAGGGAATGACTCACCCTGATTGTATCTTTGAAGAATTCATCCAAGAAAAGCATGTTAAGGAGCAACTCCGCAGCAGCTGCGCGTAAGTGCTCATGTTCAGTCATGAACCAAAAGTCCTCTATTTTCGGGATCGCCCTTTCCTTCAAGATACGTCGTCGAACAGAATCACTCATGCTTGCCTAAATGACCTCTTCAAAAGTCTGCTCTGCAACCTCTATAATGTAGACAACTTACAAGGTTAGTAAGAGTAAGCAGTGCATCATAATTTGGTCTGCCTTCAATGTCAGGATGGAGCAGCTCGCATAATGGTTTGACCACCTGAAGTGCCATGATGTGACATAAAGTCAGTCCTTATGAACCACAAACCTCGTAAGCTCGTTGTCCTGGGAAAGCGATTTGAGGATCCGCTTTTGTGCCAAGTTTGGCGATGGCATGTGCAGCTTTGATCTTTCCTTCTGGCGTCGCCTCCTTCGCCAAACGAAGGCACAGCTTCGTGCCACCTTCGCTGATGATACGACCGCGTAGGTCCTCGAATTCTGCGAAGGCGAGCATAGCGCTAAACTTCGTGTTAACCTCACAGATTTGTAATACAATACAGAAGTCCATACTTACCGCGCAAGCAGTTCGAGAGCTTTATGTGATTCTGTTTTGCTGATAGCAACGCAAGCAGCTACCGCACCCTCCTCTACTAGGCATCTAATACGTTTCTCAACATAATCATCCGTGTCTTTAGGATGTACTTCTGGCACATGATGCTTCGCAAACTATAACAGAGCGTCGGTGCTTCCAAGTAAACATCAACTGACATTACTGAGCCAAGATTACAGAAACCGGAGCACAATAAGGAAAAGGCATACCTGTGCAAGTTTCACCATTTCTTCATCCACATTGGGTTTCTCGTATGCATTGGCTAGATTAACGTAAATACTAGCCAATGTAAACCTGAAAACTCAAAGCGAGAATTACAACTTGAAAAACTTTCAGCATTGTTCGCTGCAATATTATTTGACCACGATACTACAGGAAGTGAAAGCAATAAACTCTAAGACAAAATATAAAAAAAAAGAATTGCAAAATTCACACGCAAAGTGCTCCCGCAGATTGAGCCAAACAGAAAAGAGCCCGTAAGAGCAGTGAGTCAGAGACAATCCATTCTTTGACATCGGCATCTAGAGAGAGGTATGACAGTCCCTCACAAGCAAATCTGAAGAGTTAAAGTCGTGACAACTATAAGAATGCGTTGCAAGGCTCACCTTCTCACATCTATGCTATACTTCTCGTAGTCTAACAAGAACTTCTTGCAAGTTGACGCAAGTTTTTGTGGAGCACCTTCCTTCATGGTGGCTCTCGAAGCGTCGTCACCACCAGCAGCAGCACATTTGCAAAGACCGACAAGTGCTCGCACTTTGACATTTTCATCTTCAGATTCGTACAATTTTCTCAAGATAGGAACGCCAACCTAGAAAGGGTTAAGTGCAATCCACAGAAAGGTGTAACAAACACTAACCTTCAAGATAGAGGTAGCTCTCTCGTGTTTGACCACGGTCATCACGATTAGCTCGGCCGCAACACTCTAAAAGAGGTTTACTAATGACAGCTTGTGAGGATAGAAAACGGTGCGAACAAACCTGCATTAAAAGGCTGGATGATGCGGCCATTTGCAGCATCAAAGCTGTGACTTGATCGTTTGTGACCAGATTTATTCCAATATCAACAGGACCCTTCAAACAGCAATTATGCGCAAGAAGTATGTCAAACATGCACGTACCTGCAGCATAGTGATGAGGAAGCAGGCAAGCTTTATGCGGCATTTGTGTCCTTCTGGATCGTCACTCGCTCTTGCCATGAGGTTACTACAAAAGAAAAGTGAAAGGCTGGCTCAGACATCAAAGAAAGAAACTAACTTGAAGAAGTGATCGACTTTCTCCTTATAGATCAATCTCTTCGAATCGAAAACCTGGAATGTGACTCCACATGAGATAGGAAAACAAATCTGTGAAGGAAGTAAGGAACAGAAAACATTTAAAGTTGACAAAAAATGACTGAAATGGAAGTTTGAAAATCGACAAATAAAAGACAGTCTTAATCATTGAATTCGGTAATCCTGTTCAATGACTAGACAAAGGCATAGCGACATTTGTTAAGCAAATTTGAAAGTGAGAAGGAAAAAGAATCAAAATTTGACCGGATTGAGACCTACCATGTCCTCATCCAAACGCTGAAGACATATGGCCACATGCTGTCTGGTCTCGTGCGTAACAGGATAGTCACATTGCTCAGGAATTTGTGAAGACACATCCAAAAGACGCAGTAAACCTTAAAAAATATCACGTTCTGTAGTGAACAAATGCTATGAATTCCTCTTCGAGCAAACCTGATTCCTCGGTGAATTTCCAAGACCATCCGCGGGGGATTCCTCCATCCATGTGCATGAGGTTTTTCAACAAGATATCAATGACCATCTCTCTTACCTAAAATAATATATGATTGGCTGACGTCTCATCAAAATTTGCTGGCACTTACTATAGCGGACACGGATTTATCGGTCAACATCTCTTCAAGCTCCAAGATAACTCGAATTATCCATAGCTTGTTGGCTATAAAAGCACAAAATTATGATGTAATTTAGGCGATGTAAGCTCACCTTCTGCAACCTCCGGATCCGGTTTAATTTCTTTTGTGCGGTCCATTTTGACGAGAGCATTGAAAATTCTTTGTACAATTAGGCCAGCTGCATCCACGAACTCCTTTGAATCTCTCGAACACATTAGACGGCAAACGCGCCTCGCTGAGTGCATTCCATCGTCGTGATGCATTGACAAGAAGTATAAAGCCTGTAAGAGAGTAAATTCAAGGAAAACAATACACTGAAAGAAAGTAAAGAGAATACGAAAGTAAATTCACATGTCTGCGGCAAATGCTTACCCGTCCATGGTTCTTCAAAGTTTCGTCTAAAACCCGCAAAGCAGCAACAGAAATCTCCATCGGCTCGTTCTTGTTTTCGGCCACGGATAGTAACATTGGAACTCCTTTACCCTGTAATGTGCCCCTATCTAAGACTTCTCAAAGAAGTTTTCATGAAGATAAATGCGCAAATCAACAATGTGCAAGAGATACTACATAAGAAGCTTACCAGATTCCATATTCTCGCAGCACCTGCCTCGGTCTCTCTTGCAAGAACAAGTAGATTGTTGAAAGCCTAAGGGAAGAAGATGTAGGATTAACTAACATTTTAGCTATTTTACCTGTTTTTTCTGCTCCAAATCTTTAGCGCCACCCTCAAAAGCCAAGCCGGTCATATCTTTGACCTTGTTGTCCATACTGGTTGCCTTTTTCACTTTCTCATTATTGGCCACAACAAGCCGTTGCAGTAAGTCAGCGATGGACCTAAGAACCGAATTTTTGGTATGATTCAGAATGAATGCAAAAGTTTCCTACTTGTCTTTAGGACTGAGTCTAAGCGCTTCTTTGGCATCTTTGAATGCTGCAGCAACATTATCAAGCTGTTCTCGAGCAAGTGCTCGTCGATAAAGTGCTTTCACATCAGCGCCATCATATTCCAAAGCTAAAAAGAACAGAAGATTTGAGTGCGAAGGAAAGGAACAAGGATCGGAAAGCATAAGTAATTTTGCGATGGGAATTTTACCTTTAGTAGCATCGCTTTCTGTTCCTTCAAAATCATCTCGTTTGAGTCGCGTTAAAGCTCGATTTCGATAAAGCGCAGATCTCAGAGCTTTGTCATCCTCACTTGTCAATTGCAAGGCTTCTGTATAGCTAGAAAAATACCACTCGACTAAGAAAATTATATCATTCATTCTTTAACTAGGAGAAGCGAGACCGCATTGCACACAGTGTTTAAACAAGCCTAATCGTGTACTTAGCGGGTTTGTACTTGTTATTTATCTCGTCGAGGTTTATTCACTCTTTGGAAACAGGGAAGAACAAACTTAAACTTGTCAAGACCATGTCTGCAATGCGGTCAGGCGTCTCCTAGTCATGGAATAGACGATATGAAAAAATTGACTTACTAATCACCGGCTTCTGCCCATTCGCCGCGTTTCACAGCGTCATTGCCAGCGTCCTTCAGCGACTCTGCCGAATCGATTTGCGACTGAGTCACCATTTGACTACAACGGTGCACAGTGAAGGGAAAACTCGTGTTACATTCCGAAGTCAGCGACAATCGTAATGAAGACTCTCATCGCACATTGCAGTTGAGCAGCACAATAAAATATGACAAAATTCAAAAGCTCGCTCAAATACCAGTTCAGTTGGGTCAGGTGGTGTTTCTGGAGCGCATAACTCTTCGGTTAATTGTGTCCCAACGAAGAATTCTTGCGAGCCGCTGAACATGATGACAAGGGATTGTGCTAATTGGCTTAAATAGGAGAAACTTGTAGTGCGAGGGTTCTTCAAAATCAGTGGCGTATTTTGAAAGTCACTTGCATGTTTCACAAAAATGTGCAAGGGGTTTATTTACACTTGTAAGTAATTGAAATAATTTTTTAAATTTTTTAAAAATTCAATCCACGCCTTTTTTTTCTAAAATTTTGGGGTTGTGAGCCACGAAAATTTTAAGAAGCGTACCAAAAGCTTTTTCTGGGTGCGTGGCTGACGCCACGCGCTTTCATTGGAAAATATTTTTGTCGCCCCCCCCCCGAGCCGAAATTTTGGGTGCACCACTAATATAAATATAAATATTTCAAAGCCTTGACTTTTTGCAGTTGTAGTATGTAGCCTTAAGGGCCGGGCATACTTCACGCAATTTCAGTCGCGACGCGACTTGGCAATTCGCCAGAAGTCTTCAAATTCAACACTAGCAAAGTACACGTGCATAGTGTGTATAAGTTACTAGTTAGTTGGATTGATAAAATACCCTATCTTGTGTACATTTAAAATGTGTTTACAGCAATTATGGACAGTTGGAATTTTGCCAAATCGAGTCGCGACTGAAATCGCGTAAAGTATGCCCGGCCCTTTAGAATATCCTGACATGAGTATTCTTGATAGTGGCTCTTTTTTTTCACAAGAGCTATCGTTTTTGTTGCGAAAATAGAAAGGAGGATTTTGAAAGCTTTTAGAGACTTTTGAGAAGAATTCGTCAAAAATAACGAGCAAATCTTTTTGGTGATTTTCCGCTTATGACATAGGATCATTTTATGTAATAATCAGCGGTAGGCATTCACTGAACACTAATACAGCTGATACATACGTGACAGTTTCAGACTTGTTTTTCCTCCAATTTTTAGCAATAAATTGCTTGAAAAAAGTAGAATCTTCAAGTTTGAACTTGTTACGCATATGCGCGCATGCTTCCTCGAGTCTAATGTACAAAAATCCTACTCTTACAACTAAATGATTCAAGAAAACAGCAAAGGCATCTGGTAACAACAAAAAATAAAAGCTCCAATGAATCTCATGCAATACAGAACGATAAGCACAAGAAGAAGCTGGAATATTCTAGAAGCTGCGGGAATTCGGCTCTATCGGAGCCGGTCGAGTGGCGGCCAGAAGCTTCGCGAGCACACAAAGATGTTGTAATAGCACACAGACCCTGTGCACTCATTGTTTCTTGTGCTCCCTCCATTCGCAAATCCGAGGGATCACCTGTTTGCACCTAGAACCTAACAGAAAAATCTTTTTCACTGAGTTTTTAGCGAGAAATGTTTTCATCAAAAATGTAGTAACGGTATAATGACAAGTGTGCAAAAAGGTTTCCCACATTTGACAGCATCTCGCGCCGCCAATTCTTCTGACTCACTCATTGCCCCGATAAGAGCGCTCGCTGTATTGCCAGAGCTGCAGAGCGCTAGAAGGGAAATTCTTTGATAAAAACAGACAGCTTTTTTTTTAAACACGTTAGTTCCTTCCAAACACCCATGAGCCATTAAATTATGGAGGACTGGTAAATATTGACAAACAAATATTAAAAATAAAAAGATAAAATATTGGGTTGGTGCAAAAGTTCTTTCGCACCAAATTTAAAAATTCATAACTTGTTGAATTTTCAACGACTGCAAGATCTAAATTTCGCATAAGAGAAGAGCTTATTTTCTTTGCAAAAGTACTTGAACCGTTTGCTATCGAGAACAGTTAAAGGAGATTGAAGCTGAAATTCAAAATCACTCAAAATTTGAATTTTTTGTGTAGGGTCATAAAAAATCGGAAACTTGCAACAAAAATTGGAGCAATCAGTATTGTAGGTTCTTTCACCAGCTCTTTCTAACAGTGCAAAGTTTGCGCCGATTGAGCGTCTCTGTGAAAAGTTATGAATTCCCTGAAAAATGCCAAAATAAATCAAATTCGCCCTTTTGTGTTGCTTGCTCGAAAATCGTAACTTTTCATGGAGACGCTCAATCGGCGCAAACTTTGCACTGTTGGAAAGAGCTTGTGAAAGAGCCTACAATACTGAGTGCTCCAATTTTTGTTGCAAGTTTCCAATTTTTTATGACCCTACACGAAAAATTCAAATTTTGAGTGATTTTGGTTTTCAGCTTCTATCTCCTTCATTTGTATACATTAACGAACATTTCAAGCACATTTGCAAAGAGCATGAGTTCCTCTCTCATACAAAATTTAGATCTTGTAGACTCGTTGAGAATTCAACAAGTTATGAATTTTTGAATTTGGTGAGAAAGAACTTTTGCACCAAACTAATATAATAAAAAATGAAATAAAAACAAATTCAATAGATATCAAATATAAATATTAATAATTTGTAAATAATGAAACTAATTCCCTAAACTTCGTGATGGGTTATGACAGTGTAGAATTTCTTTGTGGCGGCCGGCACTCCCCTCCCATTGTTTCCTCCAGAAATTTGGTTAGAAATTTGTAAGAAGTTTCAGAAGTTTGAACGGCTAAGGTCACCTCCCCCCCCCCCTCATTCTAAAACTTCTGTTGTCCCCACTCCGTCACCCCCCCCCCCCCCCACAGAAACAATTCCTGAAATGAATGCAAAATTCTTCGATAGAAAAGTAAAGTTTATTTAGGGTCGGTCTAATAGAAGTGACGACCAAGATGATTCTGCGGTGAAAACAAAGCTTGCGCCTGGTCGCAAGAAGTGAACCTTTGAATTTTTTACGCTCACGCGATGTCAGCACTGCAAATACTGTATAGACCGTCAAGTCTACCAGATATCGACACAACTCCCCTATCGACGCTCAGCGTCTGCTTGCCTTTAGGAAGTATGAGAATCTCGTAACTTACTGCGAAGTTAGCTAGTAAATTACTGCAAAGTAGCTAAAGTCGACTACTCAAATCGCCCATATCGCGGTACGCTGAATGCCCGCGTGCGTGCCTGCAACGCGGCTGCCGATACGGGCGCTGATGGCCCATGTGTGCGGATGCCAATGCTAGCTCGCAAGAGACACGCTCGCGGGCGTTCAGTCTGGGCGATTTTGTACAGTCAAACATATCTGCAACAGAGTTATGTGTCCAGTATGCTTAAAATTTTTCGTGTTTGAAAATCTTGGTCTCTAAATCATTGTTTCGTAGTCGCTATATTGCGTAAAACCAGTATTTTAGGAATATTCGGCATATTGTCGAAATCTAGCATTCTCGTAAATGACACACAGACACCAACTGGTCGACTACCTAATCAGACCTTGTATAAAAGTCTCTTCTTACGGACACCAAATTCGTGAGTGAATATTGTTCCAGGGAGAATTATGTCATGCGCTGCCGTGCTTACGCCGTGCCAGGCCATGCCGGAACCGCCTGCATGCGCCCCGTATCGATCGCAGTTGTGTCACGTCATTGGAACGGCGCTGGCACGGCGCGGGTCTGGCAATAAAATCGAACTATACCTTGCCAAATATATCAAGCAGAATATTATGTTGATGTGTGCCTAAAAGTAAAGTTTAGGCTCAACCTCACCAGGCCTACTGTCCATGAAGGGTCGAAGGCGATAGTGCTTGTCAATTCGGCTTTGAAAGAAATCGACATGCGAGACACAATCAGGGACACATGGGCTAATCCTGCGTTTTCGCAACTTGTAAAGGTTGTTGTGACTCTTGCTTGAGACCGATTTGATCACATGTAGTCCTTTTAGAACAAGATGGTCTCCGTGGTATTCTTAGTTGGCACAGGTAATGTAAGTGATTTGGTACGGAAAGAATTGGCGACAGGCGACGACATACTGCAAGTGGATGTTTCCGAGTCTTATGCGAATCTTGTATATAAGGTACTATGACACTTTCAATACTTCAAGTTTAATACGCAGGTTTGACCAGATATAAATGGCAACCTCGGATTTTTTGGGCCCTTGCCATTCAAATAAAAACATTTTCTTGTTTGGTAAGAACGCTAAAAAAAAGTTTGCAAACATCTTGGAATCGTCAACATAGGGTGTGTCAAAAATGTGTAACAGTCTGACTACGAAACCTCTTCTGCCATAACATTTCTTACAGCTTTCATACTACCACAACATGGGGTTCCTTCAACTGTCATACAAATCTATATAGCTGTCTAGCTGCGTCAAAATATTGTTCACCAACAAAATTGCTGTTATGCTAAACCTAACGTAATTTTTGACTAAGGGGTTGCGGTACAGTGCGAGTTTCTTACCTGAATTTAGTGAGAGTTATCAAGTCACCATAATCTAGTAGAAGGATTTATTGGTTTGTTGTGTGGTCTACAGTACGGTAACGTGAGCGCTTTGGAAAAAGCTGTGGCAGAAATCACTATCGAACTAGTCTGCACTCATACTTTTCTCGCTCATTTTCTTCATTTGCTCAACGATCAGCTAATACGTTTTCAAGCTCCTACAATCCTAATGGGAATATGGTGAGAGCCAATTATACGCATAAGGCGAATTAGCTCAGAGTACAGGCACCAATATGTACATTGTTTGCAAAGCAGTTTCTGCGCGAATGGTCATGATCTTTCCAAACAATAGGCTTGCTACTTTCTGTTTTATTCATAAAATTCATAGATGCTTGCTCAACCAGCAACATATTCTTAGCGCGGAGTTCTTGAGTTGTTCAGCGCCTTTGATGACATTTTGTATGTTTTAAGAGAAATCATAGCATAACCTGCTCTATATTATTTTCATTGCCTTATGAGTCTTTAGAAGCTGACCTATTTTGCTGCTTACTCAACTACTTCACATAACGCATGCTTTACCTTTGGATAGTAATTTCCAAAACATTTTGAGAAAAATTTTCAATAACGACATTCACCAGTTGTTCCGGATAATTCAGCATTAGGAGCGCTGGAATCTATTTCTATTAACACTTGCATCCTTATATGGAAGTAGTGAATGGTACCTAATGCGTAGTTTCTATAATACATAATGTGTTGTAATTTTCAGGTACTCGCAGCTTATTTGTGGATCCATGATAATTATCCAGAAAAATTTGTGCTCAAGATTGATTCAGACACAGTTATCTTGATGGATAAAGTGATTACCTAATTTTGTTGTCTGATCATAAGCTTTTCTTCGTTGCAGATTGAACCTCTTCTCGTAAATTCTACTACCAAGAGCATGCAATGCTATGCCATCACCAAGTCTGAACCACTACGATGTGTTACCGATCGATGGTAAGACTTGATTTAGAGGTATATTCCATATTCTTATCTTAATTTGAAGGTACGTCCCACAATCTGTGTATCCAGCTCAGTACTTCCCAGATTACTGTAGCGGTCCCGCATATCTGCTGAGTCCTGCTGCTCTGAATGCTATTCTTCAAGCTGCTCCGAAGGAGCAGGTAAGAACATTTGGATTGATGGATATCATTGTCGTGGCCGCAAAACTTGACCGCTAGGGTGGAGCAGGAGAGAAGGGGGGGAGGGAGAGAAACAGCGATATTTCCAAAGCAAAAGGGCAGAGCGACCGTAGAGCTTCTGAAATTCTTCCTGTAGAACAATGCTGATACACCAACGCAAAATCGATAGATTCTCTGGAAATCCAAATTCTTTGGTCTTCATGAAATCGGGCATAGCAATGCACCCATCAATTTTTTTGGAAAATGGATTGCTTCAACTTATTTATTTTTTGCTTCATAGGAAAGTTTGCTTCTACCATGGTAGAGGAAATGCACAAGTGACCCGTATTCATCTACTTGTGTCGATCATTTTTGATTTTACTACTCATTTTTCTTTGCTGTTTCCCTCCCTTTCACTATGTTTAGTTTTTCCATGGATTTGCAATCCAGTTTCTTTCGTGAGACATTTTTGTAAGAGCGGTAGTGGTCTTGAAATTTTTCATCAAGCAGATAGATGAGATATAAATAAAAAACTTGTACTGTCGGATTTTTATGATTATTCTTTCAAATTTTTATGGTTTTTGATACAACTGACATTAGAAGCTTTAGACCTTCTAGAGATTTGTTGATGGATAAAATTGTGCATCCTTCCCTTATTGTGTCAACCAATGTTGGGGTTTTACCACCCATTTTCTCTGCTTTTTTCCTTCTATTAGGTTGTAACATAAGTCTTGAGACACTCTTACTTCTTACGGTGATAAGCTGCAGTTCACATTTTCAACAGGGTCCAGAGTACCATTCGATAGAGCAAAGCAAGCTCTATAAAATGTTATGCAAAAGTTCGCACCAGCTTCGACCCACTGTAAGTTTGCATCCAAAATGTAAGTCGCACTGGAGGCTCAGAAAATCGCGAAAAATTCATATCTTCGTTCAATAAAACCCCACGGATCTCCAACTTGCTCACAAAAATGGCACACTACCTCAGACACTCATATATACCGTTTCTGATTTTCTTCCTCATTTAGAAATCGAGAAAACGAAAATTTTCAAGTTTTCACAAAAACGAAGCTAAGCTGTTTCCAATCATGCAATTGTATACTACATCCCTTAGAAGTATAACTAAATTTTCAGCTTTCATGCCCTAGTTTTCGAGAAATATTGATTTTAGCATGAAACACCCGAGTGAGGAGAGCTGAAGTCGGTAATTTTCGAAAACTAGGGCAAGTGGAAAGCTGAAAATTTACGGTTATACTTCTAAGGGATTGTAGTATACAATTGCATGATTGGAAACAGCTTAGCTTCGTTTTTGTGAAAAATAATTTTCGTTTTCTCGATTTCTAAATGAGGAAGAAAATCAGAAACGGTATATATGAGTGTCTGAGGTAGTGTGCCATTTTTGTGAGCAAGTTGGAGATCCGTGGGGTTTTATTGAACGAAGATATGAATTTTTCGCGATTTTCTGAGCCTTCAGTGCGACTCACATTTTGGATGCAAACTCAAACTGGGTCAAAATTGGTGCGAACTTTTGCAGACCATCTTGTAGCGCTTGCCTTGCTCTATCGAATGGTACCCTGGATCCCCGTTGAGAATGTGAACTGCATGACTTATCGCGATAAGAATTTAGAGTGTCTCAAGACTTATGTTACAACCTAATATCGGAGTTTAGTGTTTTCAAAACGTGCCCTTCACAGAAATTACAATTCATATGTAGAATGTTTTTAGGTATTCGAAATTGAAGATGCATTTTTTACGGGTGTACTTGGCGGCAAAGTGGGTGTGAAGATAGTAGGACACCGAGGAATTTGGAAAGAAGAGGTAGGATTGAACTCCGAGACTCCAAAACTCGAAAATTTTGCTTTTTTTTCCAGAAAAATTCTCAACCATGTGTAGACAATCGTGGAACAGTGATCGCTTATCCTGTACATAATGCCAGTACCAAGCGACTAGCTCAAGCTTGGAATCATATTCAAAATCTCCGATGTCGATGGATCTTTGAACATTTCCTGCTTACGTACTTCTATGGTGATTGAGCTTTCTTCTAGATATATGAAGGTTGAGTTTGTCAAAATACTTTGGCAGAGACGGGTAATTCTCAGATTGAGATATTCATGTACATCTCTGGTTGGGTTTAAATTTGAAATTGTCATCTCGATTTCTGTAATTTTGTACAGAATTGCCCAAAATTTGTAGATTTTCAGCCTTTCTCATTTTTTTCATCTCCATCCTTATCCATCCGAATCTTTCATAAGAAGACTCCCATGAATTTCTACTTTTTGTTTTCTTTGGTTTGAAGAGCGTTACATAGTCAGACTCTGTTGTAACGAAAATAAGTAATTTATTCTTAATTTTGACAAGATTTTTCTAGCTTTGCAATGTCTAATGTGATAATTATTGATTCTTTTCTGGCCATTACATTCCTGCCAATTGCCACTTGAATCGGTTAGAGTTTAATAAAATTCTATTGCAAAGAAATTTTATCTTTATCCTGAACAACTGCTTGAACATTCTTTAGAATTTTATTTTTATTTATTTATTTATTTGATACGCTCATAGGCGCGCCATTTGTTAGTGAACAGCAACATAAAACGTCAATGAAGTTAGTATGACATCAAGAAGATAAAAATAGAAAAAAAAACATGAAAAGGCGTTTGTTAATCTCGGAATGAAAAAAAAATGCGGCGATGGAGAATTTCGATCAGCGCAGGTCAAAGAACAGGACTCGATGAATCGTTGTCGCCAAATTAACAACACAGCTGGCAAGAGTCAATGGTAGTAGGGAACGATCAGAAGACTCAACCTAAACATCAGTTATATGCAAATGTCAGTACATTAATAGAGCCTAATTTCTTAGGAAAAGAGGATGCGTTTTTACTAGAAGTAATTTCCTTAGGTAAAAGGCTCAACCATCTTGTGTTTCGACAGGAATATGAATTGAAGGTTTGCAAAAAGCATTTTTTACCTAGCTTCCTGTAATGCAAATTAAACCCACCTGTACGCTCCCCACTAGGCCTAAAGATTCAGTATTTACTGGCTCGTAATTTCGTTTCTAATTTTAGGATACGAAAACAGAACACTAAGTCGCTAACAACACGTCTATACTTCAAACTACGCAGCTTTAAAACTGCGAGTCGAGCACCATAGGCCGGTAATGTACGAAGGTATTGAGGGTCAGGGAAACATCTGTGAAAAACTATCCTTGTAAAATTTTTTTGAACTTTTTCGAGCTTCACCACATGCTTTTTTAAATAAGGACTCCAAACAGGTGAAGCATAATCTAAATGAGGCAAGACATATGTTTTGTATAAACGCACGAAAAGTCCAGGTTCATTACCGTGGATGCTACGTAGAAGCATAAACAGTGCTGCCAGCGACTTGGTGACGACTGAATCATAGTGTGCAGTAAAAATGAAAGCATCATCAACAAAAACGCCCAAATCTTTCACGACGCTTCGATACTCAAGCTCAGTATCACCACAGATAAATGACCTGCGGTGAGTACTGGTGTCGCCTAAGTGCATGACAAAGCATTTTGAAAGATTCAAGGGCAGATCCCATATCTCAGACCATAAATTCACTCTTTCCATGGAAGAAGAAAGGGCCCCGTAGGCTTCCTCTCTTTCCTCTTTTCCATAGCAAGCGTATATCTTAAGATCATCGGCAAAAATCTGCACATGTATTTTTGGATCGGTTTTGATGAATGAGGGTAGGTCGGCTGTATAAAGTAAAAACAAAAGGGATTCCTGAGAGGATTCCTCCCTGCGGAACACCGCTGCTGCACAAATACTTTTCTGAATACATGTTTTTAACGCGCACGGTCATTCTACGTTCACTGAGATAGGCCAGCCATTTCAGCAGCTGACCACGGATACCTGCGCTTTCTAGTTTCAGCAAAAGTTTTTTGTGATCAACTCTGTCAAAGGCTTTTGATAAATCAAAGTAAATGATGTCCACACATTTCTGGAGGTTCAGCGCTGTCATCCAATCGAAAACAGAATCGCAAAGTAGCGCAGTGGTTGATCCCCCAGGTAGGAATCCATGCTGTTCTTGTGGTATGATGTGATTTTTCTGCAGCCAGTCATTCAGTTTATCATTAATGATTTTCTCCAATATTTTACCACAAGGCGGAGTAATGCTTATAAGACGAAAATTGGACAACTTGTTCCTCGATGAATTTTTTGGAATTGCGGTAACAAGAGCCTTCCACAGTTGGGGACTTGGCCCATTGAAAGAGATGCATTATATTAGGTTGTCTCATAATTAATGCACGTTTTTATTTGCTTGCTCTAACAAAGCAACCAGACTCAACCCAACAAAGGGTAAGGGGTACTGTTCGATAGAGCAAAGCAAGCTCTACAAGTTGGCATTCATGTTTTGCGTCGTGCTCGATCCACGGAGAGTTCGAACTCAAAATCTAAAGATTTCCAAATGCCCAAAAAATCGAAAAAAAATCAGATCTTCGTCCAAATAATATCTACGGACCTCCCACTCGCTCACATCAATACTATCGATATCTGATATCCATATGTGCGATTGCCGTCTTTTTTCCTTGACTAGAAACTGAGAAAACGAAAATTTTCGTGTTTTTCTAAAAGCAATGCTGAGCTGTTTTTGCATATGTAATTCTATACTACAAGCCTAGGTAAGCATAACTGTAGGTTTTCAGCCTATTTCGAGCGGTACTTTTCGAGAAATGTCGATTTTAGCACTGAAACAGAAACGAAAAAATTCGAATTCGTTATTTTTCGAAAACTACCGCTTGGAATGGGCTGAAAACCTACAATTATGCTTACCTAGGCTTGTAGTATAGAACTACATATGCAAAAACGGCTCAGCATTGCTTTTAGAAAAACACGAAAATTTTCGTCTTTTCAGTTTCTAGTCAAGGAAAAAATACGGCAATCGCACATGTGGATATCAGATATTGATAGTATTAATGTGAGCGAGGGGGAGGTCCGTAGAAATTATTTGGACGAAGATCTGATTTTTTTCGTTTTTTTGGGCATTTGGAAATCTTTAGATTTTGAGTTCGAACTCTCCGTGGATCGAGCATGGCGCAAAGACATGAGTGCCATCTTGTAGAGCTTGCTTTGCTCTATCGAACAGTACCCCTTACCCTTTGTTGGGTTGAGTCTGGTTGCTTTGTTAAAGCAAGCAAATAAAAACGTGCATTAATTATGAGACAACCTATTATATTAGGTTGTCCCAAAAGTTCTTGCGCCGGATTTTCAAAAATCATATCTTCCTTGCCACTCGATGGATTTTCTTGATTTTAATTTCATTTGAAAGAGGAAACCTTTCTCTTTACCAGGGTACCTTTGTTGTGAAGCGGCATCAGGAAGTCCAAAGCTAGAAGCTATTGAATAAAATCAGTCAAGATCGGCATTTTTCAAGCTGGATCACGAAAAATTCTGAAAGTATTTTTATTTGATAGAGAAAATTTTGCACATTACAGTGGTACCTTTTTCATGAATTAAAACGAAGTAGATCGAGAGTTAGAAGCAAATAAAGAGAATTTCTTCAGTTTTGCAATTTTTGATCATGCTCAAAAAAGTTTCAAAACGTCACAGAAAAGGCGAAAAAATCATAAACATGGGTTTTGTGACCTTCCCTTTCCAGCTGAGCGAAAATCGTGCCAATCGGGAGCAATTTTGATTTTTGTGATTCATTCGAACTTTCGGGCCTGCTTTTTTCACGAAAATGAAAATTGCTCCCGATTGGCTCGATTTTCGCTCAGCTACAAAGGGAAGGTCACAAAACCCATGTTTATGACTTTTTCGCCTTTTCTGTGACGTTTTCAAACTTTTTTGAGCATGATCAAAAATTGCAAAACTGAAGAAATTCTCTTTATTTGCTTCTAACTCTCGATCTACTTCGTTTTAATTCATGAGAAAGATACCACTGTAATGTGCAAAATTTTCTCTATCAACTAAAAATCCTTCCAGAATTTTTCGTGATCCAGCTTGAAAAATGTCGATCTTGACTAATTTCCTTCAATTGCTTTTAACTCTCGAATTTACCGACACTGATTCATGGCAAAGATACCTCTATAAAGAAAAAGATTTCCTCTTTCATACGAAAATTAATTTGAGAAAAATCGTTAGGAAGAAAGGAAGTTATGTTTTTTTGAAAATCCGGCGCAAGAACTTTTGGGACAACCTAATATATACATGACAGAGGAAGGCAGAGAGCTCGGGCACATTTCTTGTACACAATCTGAGGAATTCCATAGTACGAAATAGTTGTTGATGATTTCAGCCTCGACAGAATCTCAAAAAGATGGTTGGGATGAATCGCTATGTCACTGCATCTAGCAGAGATTCGTGGAAATGATGAAAATGGAAACCAAGTATCGTCCCCGTTCCCATCACCTCCACCTCCATTTGCAAAAACAGAGGCAAAAAATCGTCCCAATGCTTCAGCTTTCTCTTCGCCCTTCAAGGGAAGTCTGTTGTTCTCATACAATAAGGATGGGAGCTTTTGCTGCCCTTTGCTATTTAGTTTTAGATATTGGTAAAGTTTTTTTGAAGTTAGATCTAGCAAAACATCTTTCCCGATTGGCCAGAAATCTCCTGATGTGATGACTTAAATCTGGACAGACTTTTCTATACAGATCATTTGTGAGAGGATCGTGCATAGTAACAAAAAGCCTGCATCTTTGTTGCAGTAGATTGGTAATATGTTCGGTGTAGTGGCGAATGTGTGAGGTGCTATAGCGAAAAGGTACAAAGTTCGCTAGAGCACTGTATGTCTGCTTACAAAAACGTTTGTATAAATCATCAATCGTCACACAATCATAAAAGATTGCTGGCCAATCTATAAAGGAAAGACTCCTGTCTATGGCCGCATACTTCGCACTGGAATAGTCAGGGTAAGGGAGAAATATTGATTTATAAACATTGAAGTGGACTTGGAATGTAATCACATTGTGATCCGAATTGCCGAAAGGAGGATCAATGCAAACTTCTCTATGACGTCATCGGTTAAGATCAAATCAAGAATGGAATTTTCTCTTGTAGCATTTGTAACGTTTTGCATAGGGGCGCAATAACTCAAAGACAAAAGTTTTTTTATCACGAGTGCTTTTATTGACTGCGCAAAAGTCTTCTTTGAAATCGCCTAGTATGATCGTGGGCAGTGGCCTAGAACTCAAGCATCAGCCAACATTCTGTCATCACCAGCACTAGAGGAGGGTGGAACGATATACTAGAATGAATCGAAAAGAAGAACTTGAAAAAAGTGAGTAGATATCCAAGCACAATAAGTCGGAAGTCCTTTCATTGTTGAAGGAAACACACTCGACAAAAAGGTCATCTTTAACAAGGCAACATACGCCTCTCCCTCTATTGCAGGTACGGTCGGAACGGTGTATCGAATAGGGGAAATCAGAAAGAATTTCAGAGCTAGAGA